TCATGAATTTGGTTGATACTTCTATTATAGAGAAAGGGTGAATAACAATATCAAAATATTTCTTCTAATTAATTCCTTTCAGTGTGCATGAATTCATGCACCAGGCCACTAGTATCTACACTAATAAAAGGGAAACATGCAAATTGGTGTTACTCCGCTATGCCCACCAGCCAATCAGGATGAGTATGCAAATTAACCCAACAAAGATGGTGGTTAATTTACATATGCAGGCACAGAGTACAGACTAAAGACTGAAGATGACTGAAGACTGAAGAGGCTTGGCTTCTCTACTGTGATCGGAGTGGAGAAGTCTCGAGGCTTGGCTTCTCCACTGTGGCCGGAGCGAAGGCCTGGGTCTCGGGTGCTGGAGGAAAACCGGTGCCAGCAGCCAGGGGAAGGAAGGCCTATTGCACGAATCTCTTCATGCAGTGGGTGTCTAGGAGTCAATAATATTGTAATAACTCTTGATTATTACAATAACTATGGGTCCAGGTGGGTACTAGATTTATTAGGGGATCACTTTGGTAAATTATATAAATGGCTAACCACTATGTTGTACATTTGAAACTAATAAAAAATAATATTTGCCGGAAGCCGCTCACTGCTGATACTATCATGAGAGTGCACTAAGGAACACAGGAGGCTGATGGACCTTGGGTGTTAGCATGGCTGATGCTAAGCACCATTGTTCGTGTTGAGATAGCGGTGGCTCGAAGCAATTTCCTGACCTAATAGCCTCAAAATAAGTGTTTACTGGACCTTACTGATCTTTACTGATCTTTATTGACCTTAGAGACCATCTGTCTGCCACCTGTTTGCTGTGCTTTACTGAGGGCAAGATGCGTATCTAAAACTGAATAAAAAGCAGATAAGGCCAGGTTTCAATGTGCCTCCGCAAGAAAGAAGGTCTCCACCTGTGCCCCTGCCATGCCTTCTAAATTCATATTTCTTGTATAGTATTTTCATTTGTGCATCGGCCACTCCTTCAGATCCTGAACCCCGCTGCAAAGGTTGCAGCACCTGGTGCCCGAATAGGAACCTGGAGGAGAAGATTCGCCTGAACAAAAAACGAATTAAAAAGGAAAAGTAGAAATTCACTGGAAAGGTGGGAAGTTCACCACGCAACCTTAAGTGGATGAGAACATTTTAATCAGCCAGGTTATAATGGGGAAGAATTTGAGTAAAATGCAAAAATATCATTGTAAATTTTTTGCTTGCATGCTCAAGGATAAAGGACTTAAGGTGTTAAAAGGTACTCTCTTAAATCAGGCTCAAAGAAAATGAGTGCCCTTGTCATCTTTAACTACATGGGCTCTTGTTCAAACTGCATTATGCCCACTTCATATTGGGGATCAAAAGTCGGTAAAACCTAAGGCCCCAGATCCTCCATCTCTAGTCTGGGAAGGCTCATCTAGTAGAGAAAATGGGGCTAACCATCCTTTTACAAAAGGACTCCTTAATACTTTGTCTGAAAATTAACATATGATGCCTAGGGACTGGCAGATTTTAGCTAAAACGACTTTAGATGCCAGTCAGTACTATGGAGAGCAGAATATGATAAGATCTGTGAACAACAGGCTAAGACAGTGATGGCAAACCTCTGACACGCGAACTCATTTTTTTTGGTTGATTTTTCTTTGTTAAATGGCATTTAAATATATAAAATAAATATCAAAAATATAAATCTTTGTTTTACTATGGTTGCAAATATCAAAAAATTTCTATATGTGACACGGCACCAGAGTTAAGTTAGGGTTTTTCAAAATGCTGACACGCCAGGCTCAAAAGGTTCGCCATCACTGGGCTAAGAGCTAGGCCGCTTCTGGCTGTAAGTCCCAGACAATGTAAAACATCTGAAAGATCCATGAAAAGAACTCTGATTTATTAAGTCTTGTCTATGTGTTATGCCTGCTTGTCTGTTGATTGTTGTTTTATCTGTCTTTTTTGTTTGGTTTAATTTGTTTATTGTTAGTATATTAAGTATACCTTTAATTTACCTTCATAGAAAAGAAACAATAGGTGGCCAGGCCATTACTAAATTTCCCCAGAGCAAACAGAATGTGGGGGTGGGGAGAAAGAACATGAGCGGTACACGTGGCCGATAACCCAGGTCCTAAGAAAATTCCCTAGACAAAGGGAGGTAACTAAAAAAGGCCCCAGCCCATTAATTTCTAGGTCTGTTAGTGATCCTGTAAGATGGAAGCCCACTCTTGGGAGCGTTCTTAAAAATCTCATTTTCGCTATGTTTTTATTTCCCAGTCCGTCATTTGAAATTTGAACAAATGAGACATTTCTCAAAATTTAGGGATACCATCTGGGACTTCTATACCCTTGAAGAGAAAAAGGCTAGTTCAAGGGGGAGGCGCCCCACACGATTTTGGGTGGCCTCTTGGCCTAAGCTCCATCTCTTCACGGATGCTATGGGATAAGCATAGCATCCCAAGACTGTTTTTCTTTGGAAGATGGCGAAAATGACACAAGGAAAATATACAGGCTGTGTCATTCCAAAGTTGCCTCACAGGTCCCGGGGGCACTCCTGTTTTTATAAAGAAAAATAAAATAAAGTAATGCTTTAACATTAAAGCCACTGAAAGCCAGTAAGTTATCTGTTACAAAATTTGCCAAGGAAAATGCCTTGGGTAATAATAATTGGCTTTAAAATCTCAAAGTTGTTAAAACATAATAAATAGATGTAACTAAAATGAAGGATTTGTAATAAAGCTTTTCAGTAATAATTATACATATATTAATAATGAAAGTCCAGTCACTCACAAGAAGACTGACTGTACTCTCTATTAGAGGAAAGGGCCAGTCGCCCTTCTCGCTGTAAAGGCAGAGAAGCCGCAGCAGTTAGATGTTCTCTCTAAGGAAGAATGTAGCAGTTTCAATCCAAGAGGCTAGAGGCCTGGGAACAGGCTGCAGGGCCTGCTCCCTCCTCCCGCTGCCTTTTCTCCAGACTCATATGCCTATAAATAATTTTCCAAAGTCCTTGGTAACTTAAAGACTTTAGAACATTACTGGATTAAATAATAAACATCTAAATATTCCAACAAGTTTTAAGTTCACCTGATTTTACCTTTTATTACAGAAAATCTAAAAATATATTTCTCAAAGATGAGAATGTTCATAAATATCAATCTAAGAAATGCTAGCTGTTTACTTTTAATTATCATTGGGAAATTAAGGTTTAAATATTGTATGGTTTTAATAATAGAAGGCATGGACATATATTTTAAAAGAAAAAGAAGGAAAAGGTCTGTGCAAGTTGCTGAAGGTATATACAAGTTGATGACAGAAAGAAAGAATATTAAAGTGGAAATACTTACTGGAAGGTCTAAGCCATGGTTATGCATTTTTGAAGGACATAGAAAGAAGGTTTGAAGGCTAATTTGAAAATGTGAAATTTGTGAAGGTTGCGTATGTGATGAGAAGGAAAAGAGAAATGTTGAAAGAGAGAAATGAGTTCTAAAGTTAACTATTTGCAAGAGTTGTAAAAGGGTCATAAAATCTCAAGGAAGTTTAAACAAAGACTAGACTACTACCCTTATCTCCCCTGCCAAGGACAGAGTAAATGGTTAATACAGAAAGGGAGGGCAGGACAAGGTGGCTTAATACTTCTTAAGCAAAACCAGAATATTCAGCAGCGGAATTTCAAAACAGAAGCATACATAATGTCTCAGACCCCCATCCAGCCTGCTCTCTACATCTGTACTTCATGGGTCAAATGTATAGGTTTGCTTACCTTGCTTTTTCAATAAAGGTGCATACTTTAATTAGTTAATAAGTTAGCTTTTCACAATATAATCAAGGTCTCATATAAACTCAGTTATATGAGAAATCAATATTTTATGAGCAACCTGGTTTTAGTAAAGTCCAAAGTAAAATTTGCATACATATGCAAATGAGCACTAGTAAAAAATAATGCTGTTTAGAAGTAAATTTAAGCTTAAAAGGGAGAAATTTTAAAATCTCTTCTGCTACTATTTACAAAGTAAACTAAAAGTTATTATTCATTAAATATCACCATTAATGAGACACCATAAATAAAAAGAAAGTTACTTTTACTTGAGATGTATGCATTGCACTATTGGCCAGCATGTTTCTCTCCTATCTGTTTTTCTGTAAAGCAACCAAGTTGGTTGTTCTGTTTAAAAGAAAGTAAAAGTCTTTAATGTAGTGATTTATGGCAAGCCTACAGGAAAAGCACACTTTAGCAATGCTTACCCAATTAGAAAAGAAACTCCATAAATAGGGCTTCAAAATTGCTCTGAGAAAGGTACAGAAAGTAATGCCTTTCAAATATCTAGGAACCATAATTGAAAATCAATGTATTAGGCTCCAAAAAGATAGAAATACAAAAGAATTGCCTTAAGACCTTAAATGAATTTTAGAAATTATTAGAGGACATTAATTAGTTAAGACCTTATCTAAAAATCTCTAAGGGAGAAATGACAAATTTATTCAATATACTTAGGGGTGACTCTAATCTTTCCTTACCTCGAACATTAACAGACGAAGCTAGGAAAGAGTTACTAAGAACTGAGCAGGCAATCTCCTCAGGCCAAGTAGCACGGGTACAGTCTGATTGCCTTTATGAGGACAGATTAATCCTACTGCAAATAGGATTAATGGAATCATTTTCAAAAATAAAAACTCTCCTACTATTATTGAGTTGGTCCACCTAGGGTCGTGGTCGGCAAACTGCGGCTCGCGAGCCACATGCGGCTCTTTGGCCCCTTGAGTGTGGCTCTCCCACAAAATACCACCTGCGGGTGCGCACGTACAGTGCAATTGAAACTTCGTGGCCCATGCGCAGAAGTTGGTATTTTGTGGAAGAGCCACACTCAAGGGGCCAAAGAGCCGCATGTGGCTCGCGAGCCGCAGTTTGCTGACCACTGACTTAGGGCATCAATCTTCTAAAACTGTGGTTACATATATAGAACTCATGGCTCAATTAATATCTCAACTCAGAAAGCGCTGCAGGCAGCTTAGAGGAGAAGAACCCCAATACATCTATCTTCCCCTCACTGGGAAGCAATTAGAAATGTTATTTCAGACTGATTTGAATTGGCAAATTGGACTAAGTGGATATTCAGGGGAACTTAGTTGTCACCTACTAAAAAACAAATTACTACAATTTTTATATTACATCCCTATTATTATACCAAAATAAATAGTAGGCAGGAACCTATTTCTGGAGCATTAACTGTTTTTACTGATAGTTCATCTAATGGTAAAGCTGCTTATCATGCAATCAATTCAGACCGATTCATCCAGACCAGTCACATTTCTGTGCAAAGAATTGAATTAGAAGATATCAGGGCTGCATTGCAGGATTTCCAAGAGCCTCTTAATATTATTTCTGATTCTGCCTATGCTGCTGGCCTGGTAAATAGAATTGAGACTGCTCAATTAAAATGGCTCAGTGACTGAAGTTTATTTATACTATTTAAGCAGGTACTGCAAATTGTACAGCAAAGACAATGCCCCTTTTATATTACTCATATCAGGGCTCATACCACCCTGCCTGGTCCTTTAACTAAAGGAAATGCATAAGCCGATCAATTGGTTGCTTTATTAAAACAGGCCACAGAATCTCATCAGCTTTTACATCAGCCTGCCAAAATATTGTCTAAATAATTCTCAATCTCTCAATAGCAGGCAAAACAGATTATCAAGGAATGTCCCACTTGCATGTTATATCTGCCTACAGGAATTAACCCTCCAGGATTGATAAGGGACCATATCTGGCAAATGGATGTAACACACTGTGCTCCTTTTAGACACCTGGGGGCATTGAATGTCTCTGTAGACACTTTTTCAAAGGTCCTATGGGCCACTGCATCTACAGAGGAAATGGTGAAACAGGTCATTAATCATTGCCTAGCTGCTTTTGCTGTTATGGGAATTCCAAAAAAATTATAAAAACTGACAATAAATCTATATACACAAATTCATTTCCAGCAATTTTGTACAAAATGGAAAATTCAACACATTATGGGAATACCATACAATTCCCAAGGACAGGCAATTATAGAAAGTCAACATCAGTGGCTAAAATCCCAACTTGAAAAATAAAAAGGGGAATAGTGATGCTGGAGAAATATCCTGTAAATAGACTACACCAAGCCTTAATTACTTTAAATTTTTTCACTTATAACCCTGATGGCAAGACACCTATGGAATTACACTGGTGTCAGAATAAGCCAAAGGAAAATGGTTTGGTTAAATGGAAAGATCCTGAGTCTGGTTTATGGAAAGGTCCTGACACTTTGTTAACCTTTGGTCAAGGATATGCTTGTGTATTTCCAGAAAACTCTTCCAAGCCTGTGTGGATTCCAGCAAGAAACATTAAACTCCAACATGGATCCGAGAGAGGAACTGACTAGACTAATGAGGACCTTGCAGATGGAGCCTCACCCTGTACCTGTGGCTGCAGACAGACAACTACTCCAGCCCCAAATAGCAGTAGCCCCAAGAAACATGCTGGAGATAAGGAATGGGAGGAGAATGAGACAGAGGAGAAACAGTCCAGGGATGACCTGGGGGATGGTAAAGAAGCCTTGCCATGCTAGCAGTCATCAATTGTGTGATGGTGCAGGTTGTCCTGGACAAAGCAAGAGAAGGTCGGACCTGCATTGCCATTGCCCACCGTTTGTCCACCATCCAGAACTCGAATATTATTGCTGTCATGTCACAGGGGACAGTGATTGAGAAGGGGACCCATAAAGAAATGATGGCCCAGAAAGGAGCCTACTACAAACTAGTTCCTTAGATGCCTGACAGCAATTTAAAAAGGACATGAAAGAATTTAATCCCTTTCACTGGATCTCCCTACATCTGCCTCTTAGTATAACCACTATTGTCTGTCTCATTCTTGTTCTTATATGTTTATTTCTAGTCTGCAGATGCAGAATCTGAAAAGGACTCAAGCTCTACAGACGTCATACACTTTTCAAGATTTATTAAGAAAACAAAAAAAGGGGGAGATGTGGGGAGCCACTCACTGCTGGTGTATCATGAGAGTGCACCAAGGAACACAAAAGGCTGATAGACCTTGGTTGTTGGCAGGGCTGATGCTAAGCACCATTGTTTGTGTTGAGATAGTGGTGGCTCGAAGCAATTTTCTGACCTAATAGCCTCAAAGTAAATGTTTACTGGACCTTACTAATTTTTACTGATCTTTATTGACCTTAGAGATGGTCTGTCTGCCATCTGTTTGCTGTGCTTTACTGAGGGCAAGATGTGTATCTAAAACTGAATAAAAAACAGATAAGGCCAGGTTTTGATGTGCCTCTTCAAGAAACAAGGTCTCCACTTGCCCCCCCATGCTTTCTAAATTCATATTTCTTGTATAGCATTTTCATTTGTGTGTTGGCCCCTCCTTCAGATCCTGAACCCCACTGTGAAGATTACGGCAATAATTGAAAAACAAAATAAAAATCCTTTACCTATACACACAAAAAATTGCAGACCCTCATACTTCCAGAATCTATTGGATCAGAATTTTTCATTTTAATAAACTGATGAAGAATGGCATTTTATGAATTTAACCTAGAGGTGTGCAGTATGAGGAGAGAAAATAGAGTCTGAAGTAAGGCTTGATTTTTATTTTTATTTTTATTTATTTATTTATTTATTTTGATGTTTCTTTTTTTTTTATTAAATCTTTATTGTTCAGATTATTACATTTGTTCCTCTTTTTTCCCCCCATAACTCCCCCCTCCCAGTTCCTGCCCCACCCTCCGCCCTCACTCCCCACCCACTGTCCTCATCCATAGGTGCACGATTTTTGTCCAGTCTCCTCCAGCATCTCCCACACCCTTTCCCCCCCCAAGAATAGTCAGTCCATTCCCTTTCTATGTCCCTGATTCTATTATGATCACCAAATTATTTATTCACTTGATTCTTAGATTCACTTGTTGATAGATGCATGTTTGTTGTTCATAATTTGTATCTTTACCTTTTTCTTCTTCTTCCTCTTCTTAAAGGATACCTTTCAGCATTTCATATAATACTGGTTTGGTGGTGATGAACTCCTTTAGTTTTCCCTTATCTGTGAAGCTCTTTATCTGACCTTCAGTTCTGACTGATAGCTTTGCTGGATAAAGTAATCTTGGTTGTAGGTTCTTGGTATTCATCACTTTGAATATTTCTTGCCATTCCCTTCTGGCTTGCAAAGTTTCTGTTGAGAAATCAGCTGACAGTTGTATGGGTATTCCCTTGTAGGTAACTGGGTTTCTTTCTCTTGCTGCTTTTAGGATTCTCTCTTTGTCTTTTGCTCTTGGCATTTTAATTATGATGTGTCTTGGTGTGGTCCTCTTTGGATTCCTTTTGTTTGGGGTTCTCTGCGCTTCCTGGACCTGTAAGTCTATTTCTTTCACCAGGTGGGGGAAGTTTTCTGTCATTATTTCTTCGAATAGGTTTTCAATATCTTGCTCTCTCTCATCTTCTGGCACCCCTATAATTCTGATGTTGGTACGCTTGAAGCTGTCCCAGAGGTTCCTTACACTATCTTTGTATTTTCGGATTCTTTTTTCATTTTGCTTTTCTGGTTGGGTGTTTTTTGCTTCTTCGCATTTCAAATCTGGAGCTCGGATCTGGAGCTCAGAGTCTGAAACTCCCTCCCGATTGAAAACAACAACTGCGCCCTCCGCTTCCAGCCCGCTCCGCGTGCACTCCACACCTGAGTATTTCACTTCAGCACTGCGCCTCCTCTGAGTCTGGGTATGATATTCTCTTTCCTCCTAGTTGTAGAATTTCCACTCAGCCAGCCTTCCTGTGGTTCTGGATGATGTCTGTTCCATCGTTTAGTTGTTTTTTGAAGTGGTTGTTCGAGGCAGCAATCTCCAGCGTTAACCTATGCTGCCATCTTGGTTTCCAAGGCTTGATTTTTAAAAATATATATATTTTTATTAATTTCAGAGAGGAAGGGAGAGGGAGAGCAAAACATCAATGATGAGAGAGAATCATCATTGATTGGCTGCCTCCTGCATGCCCCCAACTGGGGATTGAACCTGTAGCCTGGGCATGTGCCCTGACCGGGAATTGAACTGTGACTTCCTGGAGCCATGCTGGCTGGGCTGATTTTTTTTTTTTTTTGCTACTTCTCTTTTCCTTTTAATTAAAAATTTTTATGTATATCCAATTTACTTTATACATATAATTTTTTCATCTTTAAAATTTTATGTATGTATATAGAATTTATATATGTACAATTGTTATTACCTTTAAAAATTTATATATAATACTTACATATAATTTGCTTTGTATGTGTATATAAATGTTATATATATAGGTTGCCCCCAAAAATGTATACACACTTTAAAAGCTAATTCTATTACATTTTGAAAATGAAATGTATTATAATAAACACTGCATTTATAATTATTCAAAGTATGTATATTTTTCTTGGAAAATCCTGTATATTGTATAATTCTACATATACAATAATACATATAATTATTTTTTCATCTTAAATTTCTTTTTATCTTTGACACTTTTCCATACTGATTCATAAAGAGGTTCCTTATTCTTGCTTAATTGTATTCCATTGATTGAATAAATGACTATTTATTTTTCAGTACCTATGTTAGACATTTAAGTTGTTTACAATTTACTTTTACCAATACTGTATGTAATCCTACAATGAATGTCTGCATATCTAAATTACTTCTGTTACACATATCTGTGAGATTAAATTCCTATAAATTAAATTGCTGGGTCAAAAAGAATAAGCACATTTTAAACATTTAAACTGTTACTGTCAAATTGCCTTGGACAGAGGTGTACAAATTTACATTCTCCACTCTAAGACTGTGATATCAAAAATTTTAAATTTGCCTATGTGGTAGATGAAAAATAGTAGTACATTGCTAATGAAGTTGAGCACATTTTAATATATTCAGGAACCATTTGGATTTCATTTTCTGTGAGCCATCTGTAATCATATTGTAACTGAACAACAACAACAAAAAAAATGGAGGTTCAGCTGCCTGCCACAATAAAAGCCAAACTTGTGAGGCAGGTGCTGGTGTTAAAGGAAATAGTTTTATTCAGGAGTCACACAACCTGGGAGAAAGGCAGACTCCCATCTCAAAGACCAAATCTCATCTTACCTTGTCTTAAAGATCATTTCCTTCCTGCTCAAGCCTACTGATCTTATAGTGATAGGGAGGGGAGGTTGTTGTTTTTTCTACACAATTATCTTGCTAACTTTTGGCATACTCAGGGCCCTAGCTATTCATCTTTCCAGCTTTTGGTGAGCTCAGTGTAAGAACCCTCCCTTCCCCACCACCATTTTGGCCAATGGGGCAGACTCCCTGGTGCTATCTACAATAACAACTCCCCGCTTCAAAACTCGGACCCTTGTAATCTTACAAGGGTAAATGGATGAAGGTATCATCTTCTGTAGGTTCTTCCTGCTGTCAAAAGGCACCATCTTTTTTTTTTTTTTTTTTTTTTTTTTACTTTTATACCATTTGTATTTTTTTTAATTATTATTAGTTAAGGTATTACAAATGTGTCCTCATCCCCCCCATTAACCCCCACAAAAAGGCACCATTTTACCTATCCCTGGATCCAGAGACTCTTACTATCTACTAAAAGAAGAAGAATGAAGGGGAGCCTTTACATGAGGGAGGAGGATTACTGTCTTTGGAAGATGACATATGCAGTGTCTGGAGGATGGCACTGCTGAACAGTGAAGCTGGTAGACTGCTTCATATGTCAAGAGATGGTGTTGCCAATGGGCTTCCAAATAAGACCTATTATGAAGACAAATAACCAAGTGTTAGTGAGGGGTATGCCTAGTAGTGCATGGGAATTGTAGTGAAATCAGAAACTGGAGAGACTAAAGCAGGGGTCCTCAAACTTTTTAAACAGAGGGCCAGTTCACTGTCCCTCAGACTTTTGGAGGGCCGGACTATAGTTTAAAAAAAACTATGAACAAATTCCTATGCACACTGCACATATCTTATTTTGAAGTAAAAAAACAAAACGGGAACAAATACAATATTTGTATTTGCATGTGGCCCGCTGGCCGTAGTTTGAGGACCCCTGGACTAAAGGATCCAGTGCTTTGGGTGGCACACCAACAGCAGGATAAATTTGCTGAGGAAGCCACTGTATGGGAAATGCAAAATGAAATAGAAAGTAAGATTGCCACTTAGCTTTGGGAGGCATTGTCCCTTTTCAAAAGAGGAATTTTAAACCTTCAAGAGTGCAGGTCCAGCTTTCCCTTGAAGTATCAACAGCAGCAACAAGATCAGAGTCTTCCTCAGGTGGCACCTGCTTTGTCCATGTATGATGGATCCAAGGCTTGATTCCCGTGAGTTTTAGGGAAGAGTGTGTTGTCAGCAGGACATCATAGGGATCAGTCCATTGATCAGTTGACTGCTGTTCAAGACCTTGAGTCTTCTAGGTCTTTAGTAAGACGTGGTCTCCTGTCTGGAACAGGTATAAGAGCTCGTCAGACAGGTGGATGGATCTGCAATGAGCAAACTTGTGCAAAATTATTAGTGTTTGCCCTAGATGTTATACATATTGTTTAATTTTTGATTCGTGTTATAAATCTAATGGGGGTGTTCCTAAAACAGACACTTAGAAGGGTCTCCCATAAACTATTTCAAAGGGGCTTAATTTAAGCCCACCTCACAGTGCTTACCCTACTCCAGAACAAGGCAATAGGGAGTGCCTGGTTTCACTTCAAATGTGTTTTCTGGTATATTTTAGCCAGTGTCTTCTTTATTGTGTGATTCATTTTCTCATTCCTCCCTGTAGGTTGGTGTCTCCAAGATGCATGTACTTTCCATTGAATCTCTAGTGCCTATCCATCTTCTAGGTGATTTCTGAAGTGAACAATGGTCCATTGTCACTTTGAATACAGCAAGAAAGTCCAAACCTAGGAATTATTTTTTTTGAGTAGAAATTTTGCTACCTCAGTTCCCTTCTCAGTTCTGGTGGTGCATGCCTCTACCCATCCAGAAAAAGTGTCTACGAAAATAAAAACTTAAAGTTTCCTATGGCTTTAGGTATCTGTGTAAAGTCAATTTGTCAGTCCTAAATGGGCATATCCCTTTATATTGTATTCACTTTCCTGTTTGGACATGTTCTGTCAGGATTGTTTTTGGTGCATATCTGACAGGCTTAGATAATCTTCTGAATGGTCCTTTGTAAATGAGGGCCCTTCAAATGTGGTCTAATGAGGTCATTAAAGCATCCCTTCTATAAGGGTCCCTTCATGTAGGTGTGAGGATGGAATATACTAGAGCTTCAGGGAGTAAGACCATAGCATGAGTATTGATCTTTCATATAGAACTAGGGACAGTGTTATTTATTTTTTCATTTTAGGGTCAGTGTTAGAGAATCCCCATTCATGGGCCTGTTCCTCATCTCATTCTGTGTAATGGGGTTCAAATTCTGACAAGTCCAGGTGGGGAATTAAAGCCCCAAGAAGAAGCAGCTCTCGGGGCAGCTTGTCTTGCTGCTTTATGGCAGTTTAGTTTCCCTGGCTTGAGAACCTTTCTTCTGGTGTCCTGGGCATTGCACTATGGCAATCTGGTTCGGTAGATT